ACGGGAAGAAAAGGTCAAATCCCCACGTCGGAGGAAGAGAAGTGAGTGAGGGCGCCCAACTCCCTCCGTGAAGGCGCAGAGAAACACAGTGGTCTAGCCGCGGACCAGCGGTATCCATGCGGCCGCAGGGCGACATGGGTACCTTGAGCCAAAATGGCTACGGAAGGAAAAGGTGAAGGAGGAGGCGGAGGACGAGGGGGAGGGGAGGAGGAGGAGGAACAGGAGGAGGAAGAGGAGGAGGAGGAGGAACATGAGGTGAAGGGGGAGGGGGCGAATCGGGCACATGTCGGTCCCCGGGAGCACAGGACTGAACCCACGGCGATAAATCAAGATCGAGGATGGCTCCGAGAGCTGCTTGGGAATTCCAAGGGCGGATGTCGGGGCTGGGTCCTCACGGGCGGGCGGGTCGGGCGGCAGGCGGGCGGCGGGTCGGGCGGGTGGGACATGAAAGTATGGCGCAGATGCCAAGTATGACGCATGTACCAGGTGGCACGCGTAGAACCATCACGGTCGGGCTGCGGGTCGAGCAAGCGGACACTAATGGGCGAGTGGGTCGGGCGGGCGGCGGGTCGAGCGGGCGGGACATCAAAGTAGGACGCATGTGCACATCATGACGCATGTACCAGGTGGCACGCGTGGAGCCCTGACGGGCTGGCGGCGGGTCGTGCGGGCGAGACACTAACAGCCGAGCGGGTCGGGCGGCGGGCGGGGCCCTCGCGGGCGGACTCGGACGGGCGGGGCATTAAAGTATGACGCATGTACACAGTATGGCGCATGTACCGAGTTGCACGCGTGGAACCCTGACGGGCGGGTGGCGGGTAACGCAGGCGGGAACCCTGACGGGCGGGCGGATCGCGCGGCGGGCGAGCGGCGGGTCAGGCGGGCGGGACTTTAAAGTACAACGCGTATACACATTATGACGCATGTACCAAGTGGCACGCATGGAAACCTCACGGGCGAAAGCGGGTCGGGCAGGCGGGGCCCTAACGGGCGGGCGGGTCAGGCTGCGGGCGGGACCATAACGGGCGGGCGGGTGGCGGGCCGGGCGGGCGGGACATGAAAGTATGGCGCAGATGCCAAGTATGAAGCATGTACCAGGTGGCACGCGTAGAACCATCACGGTCGGGCTGCGGGCCAAGCAAGCGGACACTGATGGGCGAGTGGGTCGGGCGGGCGGCGGGTCGAGCGGGCGGGACATTAAAGTAGGACGCGTGCGCACATCATGACGCATGTACCAGGTGGCACGCGTGGAACCCTGACGGGCAGGCGGCGGGTCGTGCGGGCGGGACCCTAACGGCCGGGCGGGTCGGGCGCCGGGCGGGTCTCTGACGGGCCGGGTCGGGCGGGCGGTACATTAAAGTATGACGCATTTACACATTATGACGCATGTACCAAGTGGCACGCGTGGAACCCAGACGGACGTGCGGCGGTTCGGGCAGGCGGGAACCCTGACGGGCGGGCGGCTCGGGCGGCGAACGGGCGGCGGGTCGGGCGGGCGGGACATTCAAGTATGACGCATGTGCACATTATGCACATGTAGGAGGTGGCACGCGTGGAACCCTAACGGGAGAGGAAAGTCCCAATGAGACCCACAAAGCCTCGGTCCTTCAGGTCCGAAGTGTGAACCCGGCATGAACCTCAACATGAGTTCTGGTTCCTCTCTGGAGATCGGTCGCACGACTCACCCGGGCCTGTGAGAGCATCTTTGGAGCATCTTCGACTATCGAGAACAATTATCGACGTCATCTTCGGCTATCTGCGGCTCTCTTGGAGCCGTCTTGGGCGAAAAGGTGCACTCTGACACCTCGCGGGGCGCCCCGCGCAGGTCCAGGGGAAGGGGCAGGGAAGAGGGGTCAACCCCTCCCCGAAGCGGGAGAAAGGGGGTGGAAGAGGAAACTCCCCAAAACCACCCACGCGCTACAGGGTCGGTGGGATGGACACGGTAGGTTTCGCGTCTAGTCGACATGGGGTGCGGTGGGCCGCCCACTCCCTCCGCCTCTCTTCTCCAAGGCAACGATAGCGCTGGCGGAGCCGTTCAAGATTGATCACTCCTCTGGGAAACCGTTCAAGGTTGAACATTCCCCTGGGGAGTGGGCGAGGGGGCGAAGGGGGCACATGTCGGTCCCAGGGAGCACAGGAATGAACCCACGGCGCTAAATCAAGATCGAGGATGGCTCCGAGAGCTGCTTGGGAATTCCAAGGGCGGATGTCGGGGCTGGGCCCTCACGGGCGGGCGGGTCGGGCGGCGGGCGAGCGGCGGGTCGGGCGGGCGGGACATTCAAGTATAATGCATATGCACCTGATGACGCATGTACCATGTGACACGCGTGGAACCCGAACGGACGAAACACGGGTCGGGCAGGAGGGGCTTTAACGGGCGGGCGCGGCAGGCGGCTGGCGGGGCCCGAACGGGGCGGGCGGGCGAGCGGGTCGGGCGGGCGGGACATTGAAAGTATGGCGCAGATGCAAAGTATGACGCGTGTACCAGGTGGCACGCGTGGAACCATAATGGGCGGGCGGCGAGTTGAGCGGGCGAGACTGTAATGGGCGGGCGGGCCGGGCAGGCGGCGGGTCCGGCGGGCGGGACATGCAAGTAGGACGCATGTGCGCAGTATGACGCATGTACCAGGTGGCACGCGTGGAACCCTAACGGGCGAAAGGCGGGTCGTGCGGGCGAGACACTAACGGCCGAGCGGGTCGGGCGGCGGGCGGGGCCCTCGCGGGCGGACTCGGATGGGCGGGACATTAAAGTATGACGCATGTACACAGTATGGCGCATGTACCAAGTTGCACGCGTGGAAGCCTGACGAGCGGGCGGCGGGCAACGCAGGCGGGAGCCCTGACGGGCGGGACGTTAAAGTACAACGCGTATACACATTATGACGCATGTACCAGGTGGCACGCATGGAACCCTCACGGGCGAAACGCGGGTCGGGCAGGCGGGACCCTAACGGGCGGGCGGGTCAGGCTGCGGGCGGGACCATCACGGGCGGGCGGGTGGCGGGTCGGGCGGGCGGGACATTAAAGTATGGCGCAGATGCCAAGTATGACGCATGTACCAGGTGGCACGCGTGGAACCATCACGGTCGGGCTGCGGGTCGAGCAAGCGGACACTAATGGGCGAGTGGGTCGGGTGGGCGGCGGGTCGAGCGGGCGGGAGATTAAAGTAGGACGCATGTGCACATCATGACGCATGTACCAGGTGGCACCCGTGGAACCCTGACGGGCAAGCGGCGGGTCGTGCGGGCGGGACCCTAACGGCCGGTCGGGTCGGGCGGCGGGCGGGTCTCTGACGGGCGGGGTCGGGCGGGTGGTACATTAAAGTATGACGCATTTACGCATTATGACGCATGTACCAAGTGGCACGCGTGGAACCCAGACGGACGTGCGGCGGTTCGGGCAGGCGAGAACCCTGACGGGCGGGCGGCTCGGGCGGCGAACGGGCGGCGGGTCGGGCGGGCGGGACATTAAAGTATGACGCATGTGCACATTATGCACATGCAGGAGGTGGCACGCGTGGAACCCTAACGGGCGAAAGGCGGGTCGTGCGGGCGAGACACTAACGGCCGAGCGGGTCGGGCGGCGGGCGGGGCCCTCGCGGGCGGACTCGGACGGGCGGGACATTAAAGTATGACGCATGTACACAGTATGGCGCATGTACCAAGTTGCACGCGTGGAAGCCTGACGAGCGGGCGGCGGGCAACGCAGGCGGGAGCCCTGACGGGCGGGCGGATCGTGCGGCGGGCGAGCGGCGGGTCAGGTGGGCAAGACGTTAAAGTACATCGCGTATACGCCTGATGACGCATGTACCATGTGACACGCGTGGAACCCTCACGGGCGAAACGCGGGTCGGGCAGGCGGGACCCTAACGGGCGGGCGGGTCAGGCTGCGGGCGGGGCCATCACGGGCGGGCGGGTGGCGGGTCGGGCGGGCGGGACATTAAAGTATGGCGCAGATGCCAAGTATGACGCATGTACCAGGTGGCACGCGTGGAACCATCACGGTCGGGCTGCGGGTCGAGCAAGCGGACACTAATGGGCGAGTGGGTCGGGTGGGCGGCGGGTCGAGCGGGCGGGAGATTAAAGTAGGACGCATGTGCACATCATGACGCATGTACCAGGTGGCACACGAACCCGAACCTTGTAACGCTGACCCTGACACTTGAAGCCGAACCCTCCCCCCCAGTTCTGACTGGAACGGAATCAACCGAACAACCGAAACGGAACGCCCAAACCCGAACCCCAACCCCGAATCGTAATACCCAAACACGAACAACGTGACCCGCACATCCGAGCCCGAACACCGAAATACGAAACCGAACACCCGATGTCCAGGTAACCGCACCAAAATGCCCGAGAGCCGAACGCAGCAAAACCCCGAAACACTGGACCCCGAAGGCCCCAGCAGCCGGAAGCCCGAATGCCTGAACATTCGGAAACCCGAAGACTCGAATACCCAACTCGAGCCACCCAACCCGAGAAAATACCCTCGCAACCCGCAGAAAAACCCAACCCGAAAAAATACCCCCCCAACTCGAAAAAAAACGGCCAACCCGAAAAAAAAAACGAGAAGGGTTTTTTTTCGGGTGGAGACCGGGTTTTTTATGTTGGAGCCGAAAACCGAAAAACATCCCTTTCAACCCGAAAACAAACAGCTCGTCAAAAGGAGCCTCCAATGGATGACGAGTAGGAGGAGGAATCGTGAGATCGAGGGAAACACACACGAGGACGCATCTTGAAGCCAACGTCAGTGTATTGACGCGCCCCTAGATCTGCAAGTTCAGGAATTATCACATGATATCCTGCTGGGAGGGCAATGTGTTGCTCGTGGTATCGGATGTACGAGCCATGATGAGAAAGACCACCCAGAGACGATCACTGGATACACGATCCGAACTGAATGTATTCAAAATCCGAGCTGGAGCGCTCACAACTTCAGCCGACATGCCGCGCATGGGATTGGATCTCTGGACACGTGCCCTTGCCCCTGTCCAGTCCTGCGAGACGATGACCAGCTTTGAACCACCGTAGTCCGCAGACCCCCTCTGAGTCCAGGGGTAGAGATGGGCGCGAGCTGTGCAGCTGTCCGATCGCGACGCCAAGCACGGCCTGTGACGCAAGGGCCGGGCTGCACCGTTCGATGTGATCACGCCGCTGACGGAGCGATTGCGTAGACGGGGCGACGAGCTGTGCCATCTCATTCGCGACAGTTGGGAAGACAATCAGACATCGAGAGACTGGGAGCTGAGAAAAACCAGGCAGGCACGTTTGAACGCGCACCAAGTCGCCCACCAGTGGACGCATGAGCGAGCTTACATGCGCCTCCTCTCTAGAATGCATGCCGTCCTGTTTGACGCAGCGTGCAAATTGGAATGGCAGCGTTGTCCTGGAACCTCTACGAACTGGCAGGCACTCGGGGCATCAAACATAGGCGACCTTGAGTTCCCGTCCCGAGTCTAGGATACAGCGCACGGCCTTAACAAGGGACGAAAGATAAGAACAGAGATCCCGATCCCCCAACACTAAGTCAACGTCGCTGGCTCGCGTAGGACCAGCAGCTAATACAGTCAGGGCAGGGTCCACATCCACGCAAGCAACTGTGGCAAGAAAATCCATCTGCCCGCCGGCCCGCTGAAAAGAATCACCTCGCGATCGCCGGCGACGGGCGCCGGCCCTCGGCATAGCTCTGGCCGGTGTCATCGACGTCGGTGGTGCAGTGGGCCAGCAGCGCCGAGCCTGTGTGGCTCCACTTCAGCTCCGCCTGCTGCCCGAACTTGACGCGCACTGGGCTGCACTCCTGCACCGCGGGCCAAGAATGCCCTCCCGCGCTCTGTCTGACAGGGCCTCTTCCCCGGCCCCCCCCCCGAAGTCCCAACTGATGCTGCGCACGGGCAGCACCAGGGAAAAGACATGCCTGCGTTGGCTCCCCCTGGCCCCTGGCGGCAGTCCAAGAACCCGAACACCTAAAAAAAAATGCACCTGCGTGCACGGGGGGCCTTCTGCGATCTCGGCATGTCGAGGCCGCGTCTGGGGCGACGACGGGGGCGAGTAGCCCAGGGGCGGGCATTACACGAATTCGCCTCGGAGCCTCGCCGAGGGCATGGACCATCGGCGCCCCTGGGTACCTGTCTGGCTCCCACCTGGGCCATTCGCCCCCGCCTTCGCCTCCGCGCATCGGGCACCCTGTGGGCGCCGGGACCCAGCGCGAGCGGCCCAGCGCGGAGGCACCCCACGCAGGGGCGCGGTCGAGAGCTGTTGGGACCCCCGACGTCGAGACCTGCATTGCGCCGTCGGAGGGGGCGAAGGGGAGAGATCGCCCCTGGCACTGCTGGGAAGAAGAGGGGGCAACGAGGGAGGAGGGAGGGAAGGAGGGGAGAAGGAGCGAGGAGGGGGGGGGAAAGGAGGAGGGACGAGGCAGGAGGCAGGAGGCAGGGACACGTGAGGAAACAGGAGGGAGAAAGAGGCTGAAGGCGTAAGGCATGAAGCCTGGTCAACGCCAAGCTGCGCCGCACAGGGCTGGCCCCCGCTCCGCGGGGCCGAGCGTTGAGACAGAGCGGGACCACTGGGCCAGGCCGCAGGCCCGCGTGCCGGCCAAGGGCACCACGGTTCTACCCCGCGGCCCGACCGGGCCAAGGGGTAGAGCCCCAACTTTCCAAGCCGAGCCAGGCGTGACGACGCACAACCACCCAGCCAAGAACGACAGAGACAACAGAGGCCCGCTCAGGAGCCCTCAGAATCCTCCGCCTCTTCCTGCGCCTGCGCCTCGCGGCGCCCCTCCTCCTCCTCCTCCTCCTCCTCCTCCTCCTCCTCCTCCTCCCCCTCCTCCTCCTCCTCCTCCTCCTCCTGCTGCGCCATGCAGCGCTCCCACGCTGACGCCGCCTGGGGGCTGTGGAACCGTAGAGCCCGAAGACCGTCTCCAAGGGCAGAGGCCGCCATTCCAGGCCGTACTTGGCGGCCTCCTCGTCGACCTGCGCCGGGTCCAGCACCGTGCGCCAGGCGGCCCGCGCTGCCAGGCTAGGGCCGCGGGCTGGGTCAATCCGCACGTGCTTCTGGCGCGGGTGCGGGTGGATCCCCCTGCTTCAGCTGGCGTCTGGCCTCTGCCAGGTCAGGTGCCTCTGGGCCCATTCACGCCTCCATGAGCTTTCCCTGGCCCTGTCTCTGATTCTGCACGTTGGCCCCGCAGCTCATGCAGAAGAGCACGTCTGGTTGGCGGAGGAATGAAAAGGAGGCGGAGGAGGAGGAGGAGGAGGCGGAGGAGGCGGAGGAGGAGGAGGAGGAGGAGGGGGAGGAGGAGGAAGGGGGGAGGGGATGAGAGGGGAAGGGAACTAGGAGGAGCAGCAGCAGAAGCGGCGGCGGCGACAGCAGCAGTAGTGGGAGTTCGCGCGCAGCCTAGAACGTAAGGTTTTAGTGGGTGGTGCCTGGGTAGGGGGGAAGGCTTCGCTTCTCTCCTCTCTCCGTCTGCTTCCGTCTCTGCGGCCCATTTGGGTCAAGTTTTTCCCTCGGGCCCTTGTGTCCGAGGCTCTGCGCACTCGGGCGGCGGGGGCCGCACAGGGCGATTGCAGGGCGGCCTGCGGCGGCGGCCCGGCGCAGGGCGGCGGCCCAGCCCCAGCAGGTCGGCCCCCGGCGGCTGCCGGCTGGGGCCTCGGAGGCAGACGCTGGAGGGGTCCCCAGCCGCACGCCTGGGGCTTGCGGCCTGGGCGCGGCGGTGAGGCAGGTGGCCCAGGTCAGTGAGGAGGAGGCCCGTGAACGGGCACGCGCTGCCCGATAAGTGGCGGAGGCAGACCCTGGATGATGGCCCTCTTGCCCATCATCATCGGGGCCGTCGTTGCGGTGGAGATCGGGCGCCAGTGGAAGATGCATGCGACGCCCGCCGTCCCTCCAGCCCCGCGTGTCACAATGGAGCCCGCGGACGTGACGTGGGCGGCTGAGGGTGGAGGGACAGCGTACCCTCCTCTGTTGCGAGCGCTGGAGGAGGACCAGCGGCGCCGCGGCACGGCGGCGGCGAAAGAGGAGCCGCAGCGCCACCCGCCCCTACAGGCTGAGCCGCCAGGGCCGTCCGGGGGCAAGGGGCGGACACCCGCCCATGCGTCGCCACCGGGCAAAGCGGGTGGCAAGGGGCGGCAGCCGCCCGTGCAGCTGGGCACCCCGCGGGTGGCGCAGGTGCCGGGGCCTGGCGAGGCATTGTACGAGGACGCACCGCCCGCAGGGGAGGCAGGCGCCGCCGGGAGGAGGAGAAGCTCAGCCTGGGACTGGGTCATGGGTGGGCAGAGATCCACCTGCCCAGCGCGGGCCGCGAGGTGCCCGGCGACACCCACCACCGCCCAGTGAGGAGGTTGAGGAGGAGGAGGACAGTCAACGTGGCAGGTTCGGCTTCGGGGGCGTGAAGGTCGGGATCAGCTGGCTGGGCGGGTGGTTCACGGACCTGCCGATCACAGAGTTCAGTTTGTCCGACATTGCCTGGAGCGGCGGAGGCGTCATCGGGAGCGGCCTCAACACCTTGGGTTACGCGGCCTTCGGTACGGGTTGGCCAATGCTGTGCTGGACGACCTTCGCGGGCCTCATCGTGGCGTTGGTGATCGGCCTCGGTTACGGATTCCACTCCATCGCCTCGGCGCTCGACCTGCTGATTTGCACGCCACTCAAGTGGGTTGGGCGTCTGTTCGGATGGTGCTGCCCAGCGAAGAAGCCAGGCCCCGCTTCGGCAGACGAAGGCGTGGTGCCTGAGCTCCGTGGGCCTGCGACCGCCATACCCGTGGAGAACAACTTCTACGCGCAGCTGCGGGCGAAGGGACCCGACACGGTGCCACACCACCTGATCATCAAGGTGGGTGACACGACTGCCAGGTTCGAGCGGAGCGCCCTTCGCTGAGTACGGGCATCAAGTACAAGAAGGCAGGGGTCGCGTGGCTCTACTAGGAAGTGTTGGCGACGACCTCACGACGTCTACGGGATCTTCTGGAAGACTCACAGGACAAGGTGATCCACCTCTGCTGGGAGATACCGTGCCTCGACGATGGCCACTATGCGGTCCACGCGCCGGCCTTTTGGCACGTCACGGCCGACACGGACACCAACCTGGAAGCGCTGATCCTTGCTTCGCCGAAGCCCTGCTAGTTCGGGAGGGCGGTCGGTTCGGCAGCTTCACCGCGTGGGCGTGGGTGCGCGGCGGTGGGCTTGAAGGGGCGTGCGAAGCTCTGCGGGTCACTGAACTCGAGGCGCGGGCAGCGGGGCTGCCAGCGCGGCAGGCGGGGTGCTGCTAACACCCCGGCGGAGCTGCTCAAGGACCCCAACTCGGAGACGGAGTCGGAGCCCGAACACCAGGGGTGCATGGCCCACGATGTCCTGTGCCAGGAGGGAGACACCATCTACCAGTTCTCTATTGAACAGTGCCGCGATCGGGCCCGTGGGGAACCGATCCGCTTGGTCACCGGGGACGGGGAGAAGTCGAACGCCAAGGGCTCGGAGAAGGTAGCGACGGCGTGCTGGCAGCATACCAACACGTACCAGAGGGAGCGCGGAAGTAAGAAGTGTGCCCACCTCGGGTGCCACGCGCTGGGCCGGGTGATGAACTGCGGCGTCCTGACCTGCCTCGAGCACGACTTGTCGGTGGCCCAGCGACTGGCACCATCCGCGGACCGGCCAGAAGGACCCACGGTGGCGGTGGCAGGGCTGGCTCCAGAGCGCCCGAGGGCGTCGAGGTCGCGATCTCCACCCTCATCGGTGGCTCACGGGTCGGACAGAGTTGCCAACCCTAAAGGCGCCTGGCTCGCAGCTATGGTGCGTGGGCCCAGGTACTCGGAGACGGCGGGCAAGTACTAGTTTTACCGGTGCTACCAGGTCCAGGCGGAGGAGGAGTGGGTCACCTACCGCATACCCTGCCTCGACATGTTAGTGACGGTCCCGTCCAACCTGGGACCAGCGGTGGATGATCGCGCACGTGCAGAAGCCATGGCCGCTGGAGCTCCCGCTATCATATTGAAGACGAGTACGCTGGTTCAGGACGGGATGGACGAGCACGGCAGGACGGCCAGCCCTGTGGCCATCGCCCTGGCCAAGGGCGTGGCCGGCCGAGAGGAGCACCCGCTCGCTGTGCACCATCCAGCGAGGAGTTGAGGAGAGGCCCCGCGACCAGATGGGGAGTGCGCCCCGTGAGGCCCCACCCTTGCCTCCCCCAGCCCATCCCCAGCAGCCCCCTTGGCGAGACACGCTTTCCAGGGAAGAGCTGGGAGGCCTCCTGAGCGGCGCTGCCCGAGATCGTTGGCGCCGGAGTGGGGGGGAGGCTTTGGCGCTGGAGTACCTGCGATCCCGGTCAGGCAGCGGGGAACATCCACTGGACGTTGCCGAGCGCTTCCAGCAGAACGAGGGTTTCGATAACTTGGGGGACGCCTGCGACGCCATCGCGGAGTCCCTCGAGGCCCTGGAGTGTGACCGCGGGCCCTTCATGACGGACGACGAGCTGGACAACTTGCGCCAGTTGGCTGACGTGCTCCGCGAGAGGCGGGGTCTCAGCCAGGCCCACGAGGAGGAGGGGGAGGCCGGATCATGGCGAGGAGGCCTGGCGCAACCGGTGCCAGGAGCGCCACGCCCCCTTACGGGCCCCCCACCGCGCACCGCCCCAGGAGAGCCCCCGCCGGGCCTCGGACTGGCGCCTCAGGTTGCAAGGTGGTCCGAGGGAGAGCGGCAGCCTCTCAAGGTGTGGGCCCCAGGAGCCAGGGCCACCACCTTGGCGAGCGCAGGGCCCGAGACACGAGGAGCTGAGGTACGGGCGGAGTTGGGTCGGGGGCCGTCCGCGGGTCG